CGTCTATGATGAACTGGAGTAACTGATAAAAACATTTAATTTACTTGGGTAACCTTTTCATTATTTATTTAATTTGTGTTTTGAATGTTTTGAAATTGGCAGACTGTATCATTTTGAAATCCTTGGTGATTGTTGCACTCTGTTGGCCATTAGCTGTGCAATATATTCACAAATATCCCACTTTTTTGTTGTTGTTTTTTCCTTGCTTTTCTCTTTTCTTACACTGTGTCGCTAAAATATTCGTGTAATAACTTTGGTTAATTTTTCTAGTGTGTTTGCAAACCAAACTCTACTCATACTATTTGAACCCAATAATTGTCATTTATTTTGTTTTCAAAAAAGTTGTCAATTGAGAACAGAATGTATGTGAACCGAAATGTTTAACAATATACAAACAAACAATTTATACCCTAAATTCCTACTTAAAAAATATTTTTATCACTTCTCCCATATCCTGAATATGTGAAACTGTAATCTATTAACTCCCAACAATGCAACCCCATAGCAGCTGTTTTGCCAGAAAACTCAACCTAAAACCCTCTATTAGGGGAGTACCCCTCCCTGTAAAAGTTTATTAGACAAATTTTATACAACACTAACTATGTATTTTAAGTATTTTACCTAGCTTTGTGATTGCAAATTGCTTGCACATTCATGGAATGGAACCCTTTACGATTGAAAAAACCGTTTTCGTTTTCATGTGGTGCCTGAATCTTGATGTGAGTGCTGTCAACACAGCCAATCACCCCAGGAAGGAAACCCCCAAACCCCCCCCCCCTTTGATGTTTGATCGGTAAAAAATAATAATCATGGTCGCACTTCCCCCCAACCCATTCATGTTCACCACAAACGTGATGCAGTTGTCCAATCCCGGTGCTCAGTGCAATACAAAAGTATCTTTTGTAACCAACTGTTGATTAAGTAAGTTTTGACAGAGGCAACTAATCAATTCACGTATACCGAAATACACAACCATCTTCAATTTAACGAGGGCTTCATCAGCGCTTGTTGATCTATTAGCCTAACAAATGCTGGCACTGTCCCAAAAGTGCAAAATGATCTTATTACACCAGGGTGGGTTGTTCAAAGCTGGTTCAAGATAACCCAGGGTCAGTGTGAAATTTGAATTCAGATCTCAAAGCTTTAAAAAAAATTTGTGCTTATCGGCCTTTGAACAAACGAACCCAGGCTTGAATCTTGTCCATGTTATTCATTTGACCAACCTAGATGGAGAAAATAATGATCATTAAGACTGTGCTACATTGCTCATCTATAATTTAACCAGTAGGTTATTTTGCAAAAAGGAAACTGTTCTTTGCGTTTACTTTTTTTGATCGGAAAACAAGTAGATATTGACTAAAAACGGAGATAAATATCGTGATGTTAACCAATGTGCTCGTTGTAAACTCTAGTGACTTGCACGCGCTGTGCGATGGTTTAGCGGGAGTTTTAGTAACGTTGAGGGAGAACTGCTGCATTGTGGATAACAACATACATGTTTCTGTTTTATGAAATGAGTTCTCATGTCTTGTGGATAGGCCATCTCAGTTATACGAAAAAAAATTTACAGCTTGCATGCTCAAGTTTACATCTTACTTGCATTTTGAAGCACGGGACATTGTTGTCTCTAATGATACGTGAAGTTCTTGTTTCTCAAAGTTATAAAATCATCAAATTATGAACCCTGTTAAATATTATTGACAATTTACTTGAGGAGCAAAGCTGTATGACACTTTGGAAAAGTTTTTTCAATCACTTAGAGGTTATACTCACATTGTTTAAAGGATGTATTGCTCTCAACATGAATCTTATTTTTTCTTCAGTGAAATTTCTCTTACATAATTTATATTGGTGGCTTTTCGGTAAACTGAGAACTTTCCCCTTCATCCATAAAGACGATGTTTTAACTTCAGTGTGGTAAGAACTGAGGAGTACTTCACACTGGACAACTGGCCATTCGCACCAAGTTTCAACTGACTGAATATTGTTTCAAGTGCACCTCCATTTATGCGCAGAGGCCACATGTAGTACGCAAGGAAGATTGTAGTAAAGTGCTTGCAGAACTCAGTGAAGCCATAACATATGAGTCGTGTTAAATCCCATGTCTACAGGAAGTATCAAAGATACTTTTTATTAGTTTGTAATTGAAGAAGAAATCTTAAAATGACAGGTAGAAATTCAGAAAGGAAATTATTTGCAGTTTGCCTTCAAATCTTCTTAATTTCAAGTGGTGGAATAGCATTGATCAGAAAGCGGAAAGTAGCCGGTAAATGCGAGAGAAGAATAATCAGACTGTCCAACAATAAACTTGGGAACAATTATCTCCGATAATTTATTCGAAAAGGTTTCAGTCCTCTTTGCTTGTGGTGATCTTTTAAGGACTCATGTTCACCTGTGTGTCTTTAGGCAATTTGTGCGCGAATCTTGCTAAAGTTTACTCTTATTCTGATGAGTTTTGTGGCGCAATTTGCTTTGATGTCTGTGGTAACACGACAGCTGTTAATTCAGTAATATAAGCGGGAGCAGCTCAGTTTGCATGTGAAGAGTTACCTGTACCCTTAAAAGCAAAACAAGTAAAATATTAATTTCTTTTCCTTGTGTTTATGTAAACTTTGGCTTTGTCTTTGTGAAGGTTGCATGGAGAGATACCAAAAAACATCATGTTTTGTGATGGTAACCTTAAGTTTATTCAATTTGCTAAGCAGGCGAAAGTCTCTCAATACCACATTTAGATAAATGCGTCGTAGACCAAGCTCGAGGTCAAGATATCTGGATAGTAGCCGATTTATTTTTTTGCGTTTTTATGGATCTAGACGACGCGAGATCCATTAAAAAACGAAAAGAAAAAGAGCGAGGCTAATATCCAACCATCTTTACCGAAAACAAGCTTGGTCAATAAAGAATTTATTATATGGCAAAAAGATTTCGCTTTATTAAGAATCAAAATTGACTTGTTTGTTTCGAGAAGCGGTAGAGAAAGCCAACTGTGTTTGTAGCACAATAAACTCACTAGAGTGGTTTATGATTTCTTTGTTTTGACTGTCTCTTGTCACTTTTTGTGACTCCATCGCCGACGATGGTATTGTTCACTGGTTACTATAAACCACTCTTACGGACAGAACTTTCCATTTAATAACAAAAGGATATAACAGGTTTATGTTTTTTTAATCAGTTCACGGATACTATGGGAGTTTAGTAAATTTGTCTGATTCGCAGCTGATTGATAACGTTTCTTTACTTTTAATAAAGCGGCAAAAGAAACGCCATAAGTTTAAAAAGTTAACGTAGGTTTTGCATTAGGTTTTTCATTCATCGATGGACAGAAACTTTAAAAGCTTAGTGTAATTGCTTTTCATCAATATTATATGTCGTATAATCCTAGGTTAAACAATGGATTGCGACCCCTCAGATGAAGATTAAATTTAAAAGCGTGAAAACTCACCACAAATCATTCCTAGAGTTGATTTAGTCGAGGATAAGTGTAATACTGAACGGGAATCTTTTAACAATTGATGGTGGGTAGAGTTTCTCTTTTTGGGGCTTTGTGACACAAAAGGGTCTGAGATCTCTCTTTATTTTCAATACGTGTTTTTACGGCACACCGTTTGACCGGGTGAGAATATCAGTGATAAACACATAAGTCTTGAAAGATTTACGTTTCAAGAAACATTCCTCATGCTAGGGCGATTTGATTTGATACATGAACGTCAGACAGAAAGATGCCTCGAAGAAACAATTTTTGATTAAGTCAATTGCTGTTTCACTGAGAATTGATAACTTTGACATTTACCTTTTTTATAACTTTCCTGTATTAATCTTACTGTAGTCGATTTACTTTTAATTAAAAATTACTGCCATAGATGAATTGAAACTGATTCATTGATTTTTTTTCCATTTTTCTATTTATATCAATTTTAAAACGAAATGAGGAGCTAGTCGACAGTATGTCGCTCGCAGTGCATCTTGGGCAATGAAGAGAACTCAGTTTAGTGTTCTGGTAAACTGACTTTGTTTGCACTTCATACGTACAATATCTCTTCAACTCTTTGCTGTTAGCTAAACTGCTAGGTATGTTTATGATTATTTTGTAAAGCATTCCTCACTAAAACCATCAATATTATCCTTTCGGAAATTCTGCAAATCATTGATTTTGTGGTGAAGAACGAGTTCGCAGAGGTCCATATATCTATTAATTTCGCTCCAGATTACGCCGTTAACTTTGAGAGTAACAATTTCCTAGTTAAGCAAAACAATAAATTCTACACTAATCCACAATTGTTCGATCTTATGAAAAAATATTAGTGGAGGCTGCCTTTCGGCAGGAAGTCCAAGTATCTATACATTCCGTTCAGGATTACGCCATGAAAAATTAATGTATCTCTTTTATTCGCATATTTTTAGTATTGCCATGGGCATCGTACAATATCTTCATGTGGTGCTGTTTGTATTGAACTTCACTCTCCACACTGTGGCACAGACAGCAGTAAATTGTCAAAACTTCAAGTTTGTTATCGATGAAAATGTCTCCTACAACCACATTTTTGAGGGTCACGTATTTCGAAGATTGACAGTCTGTGGCGCCGCTCAGTGTCACGTGAAGTGTAAAGATGACTGCTTGTGTGTCTCCATGAATTATTTTCCACAGTCTCGTGAAAATAACTGTGAGCTTAATGATGCTAACAAAGACATGGAGCCAGCGGCAATGAAATGGAGGAAAGGAGGAATTATTATGATTTAGTGAGAAATTTCACGGTAAAGGTTAGCTAAAATTGTTTATATATAACTTTCTTCCCGGCACATGAATTGGTTAAGTAACAGCTCAGACATTTATCCTTTCACTCATCCTTTATTCATGCAGGTTGCTCAGATGCATGCATTAACTAAATTCAATGGGCTTCCATAGTAAAAGGCATCAAAAGAAATCGTAGGCTAATGAAATGCTAAATTTTGCTGTAGGGTGGAGACAAAGACATCTCGGGGAAGCATCGCTGCATCAACAGATGCTGCAGACCCAATCCTTGTCTCAACGGAGGGTATGTCAGGAGATCTGTGACACCCACGGCATCCGCTTTTCTTGTGGCTGTCCCAACAAATATACTGGTCAGCGGTGTGAGAGGACAAAGCTGAAGAGTTGTGAGGACATCGTCAAGTACGGTGCCTTGACATCAGGAGAATACGAGATCTTTAATTCAAACAATGACCCGTTTTCTGTTTACTGTGACTTGCAGTCTGAACCAAGTTTTGTATGGACACTGATACAATCGTTTTCCTTGGCTAAAAAAGATACCTTTGAGAATAAACCTTTTGGCGTAAATTTTGAGATTAATAATGACAAAAAAAAAGTGGATTGGAACGGGTACCGATTATCCTTATCACAGATGAAGTCTCTTGCTGATCACTCCACACATCTGAGAGCAACTTGTAACTTTTTTACAGATGGTCTGCAGCATACGGACTACGCACGCGCAAAACTGGCAGGTCATGACATCTTTGGTAACTGGACCATCTGTCAGATGTATGAATATGTTAACATCAGAGGAATCAATTGTTCTAATTGCACTGCCCTGACAAGACAGAAATCAAATACGTCTTGGACCATAAGGAGTTACAGAAGCAAAGAAAAAGGGTGTGAGTTTGATGGAACCCAAGGTGGAATCGTCGCGGAATACAATTTCGGAGAGTATGGGGACGGAAAAATGAATCCCACTCACCGCTGCACGTCATCAAATGCTTCTACAACCCAACACTGGTTTGGAGCTAAATATGACAGAAAAGGCAAACTGACCCACGACGTACAGGGACCCATTGAAACAACGCTAAGAACAAACAATGACATCTTGCAACCGGCTACAAGTGGAGTCCACTTAGAGTTGAGCTTGAACTAAAAGTCTCTAATAATAATTCAGATATTTACACTGGCTCTTTATCACTGAGGAATGAAGATACACGAGAGCAATGTTATCTGCAACCTTAGACATGTTGTGTCCATGTTAAAAACTATGAAGTTTTCGTTTTAAGGCAGTCTTTTAGAACGTACTTTAATTTCTACTAAACTTTCATTTTTTCATCTGATATTTCTTTGATAATACATATAAATTCGAAAAGTCAAAAGCTCGATGAAATTTTCCTTTTTCGTATCCATCTTTGAAAACCTTCTTTAAACTCGCCATTAGTTTATTTATCCAAATTATTTTCGGGCAACCGACTAATGCTAAGTTTAAATAATCGTGTTAGGATCCAGAGATATTTTAAAATAGTGTACAGGGAAACCAAAGCGATGTGCCATGAATTTTGAAAGTCTTTTAACGTGATCACGAGTATATAAGTGGTAACTATGAATATAAAGCTTTGTTTATTTTAAAATTTTAGGGACTCGGTTAAAACTGCGATGCGACGTCAACAAAGTAGATATAACAGTTCTATTTCATTCTTTGAGAAAACTGTTACAACTCGTTGGTGACCTGTGTATCCAAAACTGCTTCAAAAGTGATGAAAATCTGGATGGACTGGCGCTGAAGGGATTATTATTATTATTGTATTCAATTTTACAGTCATCGCGGAGTTTCTTGGTATAGGTAACACAACATGATTTTGAGTGCAACGTGGTGTTAATAAACGCGAGTAAATTTTAAAAGGTAACAAAAGCTGAAGCGATGAAAGGAATTTTGAAAGTTTTTCAACTTAATCATGAAAGATGTTCTCGTCGCAAGTATGCCTGGGATTATTGGTACCCTCTCAATGAATTTTATGCTGCACGACCCTTTTTTCAACAGATGGGTGTGTCAGGAGATTTGCGATACGCTCAGGATAAAGTGAACCTTTTCCGAAAAGTGCATAATTCAGCGGTGTGTGACATCTGTAAAACGGCATCCGTACCTCGGCAAGGCTATATTATTTTTAATTCGTCCTATCAAACGAATTTTCTTTACTTATTATTGAAAATAAGTGTCAGCTTCGTTATTTTAATTTGAGTTTAGGTTTACGGAGAACTCTTCATCAAAATCGAATTTGCTAAGTGCAGCAAGAAAGTTAGTATCTTTCTTAAGTGGGTAATATGTAAATAAAGCTTTGCTTGTTCTTGTTCGATATAAAATCGTAAGGAGACCTAGTGTAGCTCTGATCGGCAATTGAAATCAAAATCTGTTTCAGGAGAAAATTTTAATGGACAATGCTACAACAAAAACTTGGTTCATAAACAACTATTTGACGAGACTGAAAAGTGTATCAGGATCAGCCAGACACGGCAAAGTGCGAAAAGTTAAGTCATATTTGATATTCAAACTTTATCATAGCATTTCCGCTCTATCACCGATATTTGATATTCTAAGTAGAAATAAAATTGCATTGTCATCGCTGAGCTGGTTTGAACTTTTGCTGGACCCAAAGTATTGTTTTTAGGGGGTTTTATTCGGTAGCCCATATCTACAAAAACAGCAAACACTTTTCCAAATACAATACAGTATTATCGAAACATACGGTAGCCCACTAGTGCTACTGCTGCACACTGGAAAACAAACACCTTCCTGAATAAAAACTTGCTTCCTCTGTGAAATTGTTTCTATTTTCCATGCAAGTGTAAGCCTGTTGCATCGAAATGCCCTCCTCCGTAGAAATGAGCCTTCTCCTCAGAAATGGGCCTTCTCCGTAGAAATCAGCCTCCTCCGTAGAAATCAGCTTTTTTCGTAGAAATCAGCTTCCTCCGTACAAATCAGCCTTATCCATACAAATCAGCCTCCTTCGTAGAAATCAGCCTCCTCTGCACAAATCAGCCTTCTTCATAGAAATGAGTAGATATCAAGGAACTGGTAACAGATAGACAGACAGCCTGGGTCCTAGGTTACCTTTTCCGCCATATTTGATAACGGCGAACTTTTTGCAGCTCCTATGGCGAAAATCTGGGCCAGTATTCCACGCCGAATTATTGCCCCAAATGTGGCACGAAATAGCAAGAAGGTTAGTGATCGTTTCTTTTTTTTTTGGCTTTGTTTGAAATGTTCCTGCATATTTTATGTAAAGCCTGATAAACGATGACCGAGTAGGCCACTAGCCTGCTCCAAGCAAGAGGCATTAAAACTACATATTTCAGGTATTACATTTCAGTGTAGCTTGGTTTTGAGTGTTGTCCCTGAAAAGCCCTTATGGGAAGTACAGTGGTCAATAAATATTGTTTTGTCAGTACTGTGTTGTTGAGGCCTTGAATCGTTGCTTTATTGTTACAGTATTAATATAATTAAAGGAAACACCAATAAACATAATCCGGGCGCACAACACCTCAAAATGTTAGTTGTGATGTTTGAAAATTGGCAATACCAAGAAACCCTAGGGTACTTGTGTTACCAACAAGCTTGGAAGTTGCTATTGCCTCATTTTACAAAATAATTTTGAAATTCCTTAATTTTCTCTTTCACAATTCAATGTGTTAGAGAGTGTGGTAATAGAATAGTATTTCCATTTGGGTTATGATCACAAAACAATCACAGATCTGCTACAGGTCTACCATAGTATCACCATGAGTGTTTGCACCCTTAAAAGAAGACTTCAGAACGATAATCTTGTGAAAAGGAAAATCAATGCTGATGAAGACTTAGTTTGGAACATCATTAGAAGTGAAATGCAAAGACCAGGGCAGCTTGCAGGTTACAGGTGGCATATACTTTAACTCGAACAGTTCTTCATGAACTAGATCCCGATGCTAGTAAAGCATGGATGAGAAACAACCTACACCATAGGATATATCACTCACATGGACCAAACCAGTACTGGCATACTGATGGTGAGATATTAGTTTTTTAAAAACAAGCATATAATTTATTTCTGTTTAATCCATTTTATAATGACAAGCCCTGTTTATCTTTGTACTTTTATTTTTTAAGGCATCATCAAATGATTTATGCTCACCAGGCTACTTTAAATTTCTGAAATTTTTATCCAAAAATTTATACATAAAAAGGCATTCACATCTGGACACTGTTTTACATTATTGCTGAAGGTTAGTTTTTAACCAAATGCCCCTCTGTGTGTATGTGTTTGATGTGCTGGGATAAAATGCAAGAAACAGATTTTATTCTAATACTTATTTCTAAATTTCAGGTTATGATAAATTGAAACCATTAATTTTTCCCATTCATGCAGCTGTAGATGGTTACAGCAGGAAAGTTACATGGCTTAAAACTTGCCAATCTAATAACTTACCCTCTGTTCCAGCATGTATTTAAAATGTGTGCAAGAACACAAAGGATGTCTGTTGTTGGTTTGCTCTGACTATGGAACTGAAAATGGCATTATCGCTGGGATGCAGTGCTTCCTTCATTCTGACAATGCACCATTTTTTGGGGAGCTTGCTCACAGGTATGGAAGTCCCACTAGAAATCAGAGTGGAAAACTAGCAGTCTCATTTCAGGAAGTCAATGGCAAGTTGGTGGATCAACCTTTTTTTAAAGATTTGGTTGACAGTGGAAAAGTGGATCTTGAAAAGAAATACATAATAAATGTCTATGGTTTTGTTTCAGTGGTGTCCTGGAAAGTGCTTTAAATGACATGAGGAAATACTGGAATACACAGTCATGCCACAAAACAGTTGCAGGAGTTCCTGATACTTTGTACTTCTTGCCAGAAAACTCTGGTGGGACTGACTGTCTCATTCTTTTCCCACAAGAGGAAATTGATGATATGAAGTTGGAATGTCAGGATGTAGAGGATGAGAATGTACCTCAGGAGTATTTTGAATATTTAATGAAGACTGAGGGTATCCAGTATCCTACTACATATGATGAGGCTC